GTGAATCAATCAATAAGTCGGTCAAACAGTCGGTACGTAAATCAGTCAACTAGTAAGTCTGTTAATTAGTCATTCTGTCAGTGAGTATATCAATCAGTCAATCAACTAGTAGACTCACTAGTCAATTCGTCAGTCAGTCAATCAAACCCAATCATTCTTTCAACTAGTGGGTCTGCCAATTATTCAGTCAATCAGTCAGGTAGTTGGTCAATCGGTTAGTCCATCAACTAGTATATTCATTAGTCAATCAATCAATCAGTCAGTCAGTCAACTAGTTATTTCGTCAATCAGACTCAGTCAATCCGTCGACTAGTGAGTCTGTCAATTATGCAGTCAGTCAGTCAATCAGTGAGTTTCCTACTAAATCAATCAGTCAATCAACTAGTCAATCAGTCAGTCAATCAGTCAACTAGTTAGTCCGTCAAACAGACTCGGTCAATCAATCATTCGTTTTCCTGTATGCGTTACACGTTTCGTTACAATCGTTACGCCCTTGTGTAGGGTATCAGAAACATAATTACCGCATTAGGCAGCCGGCACTAATGATGCTCATTAGGCGCACAGCGACCCGGACACCTTCACACACCCGCACACACAGACAGGCGCATAATTATTAACATTTTGTTGTGTTCGCAGATTGAAAGCCGGCTGGAGCAGCTCGAAGACGAACGAGCCGCTGCGTCCGGATGAGCAGGAGGCGATCATATCGGTGATACGGCGCAATGAGGAGATCGAGATTGCGGAACGGCAGCGTGTGGGCCGGCTTGTGGAGCGTGTGGAGAAGATCAAGCTGCACGCGGTGGAGCGCGGTCCCAACTGTTGTCGCCTGTGCGGCGATGCGTTCGGCCTGCTGCGGCCGCAGCGCATCATCTGCGAGGACTGTCGCAAATCCGTGTGCACCAAGTGCAGCGTCGACATCAACATTAGGTATCACAATAGCGAACGGACGCGCGAGATTTGGCTGTGCCGCATCTGCTCCGAGACGCGCGAGATGTGGAAGAAGTCGGGCGCTTGGTTCTTCAAGGGTCTGCCCAACTATGACATGCCCGTGCGCAGTCTCAGTGCAACGAACACGCCCACTGCCACGCCCATAGCGGGCGGAGCAGGTGGCAGAGCGGCGGCAGCAGTCGGACGCAGCCTACACGCCACACCGACGCGCGCTGCACGCATCAAGAAGCTAACGATACGCGTCAACGACAGCAGCAGCAGCAGCAGCGGCGGCGGCAACAGCAGCGCCAGCGGCCAATCCGAGCCGGAGGAGGAGGATCAGCCGGATCAGGGCGCCAAGCCGGGCACAGCTGCCGCAGCCGCCGCCGCCGCCGCCGCTGCCGGCTCCCAGCGGCTGCAGCGTGACGAAAGCTTCCGGCTGCGCGCCTACGGCTCCATACGTAGCTTCATCGATGGAGGCGAGCGCAAGCTATCCAATTCCTTCTTATTTGGCCGCCAGGGCAATGCGCGGCAGGCGGATAGCCAGGACTATGACAACATCTCGACGGCGTCCACGGTCGCACAGCTGCGCCGCGAGGGCAGCTTTCTGCGTCGCAGCTCGGTCAGCTCGTCGTGGTCCTTCAGCGACAGCTCCGGTTCCGGCAACTCCGCCACGCACAACCAAACCCCGCAGCAGCAGCAGCAGCAACAGCAGCAACAGCAGAAGCAACAACAACAACATCAGCAGCAGCAACATTGTCGGGATCCACTGCTAGGCTGGCTAGAGATTGCCATCAGCTATCGGGAGAACTTCCACAGTCTGGACTGCACCATGGTCCGTGCACGTGACTTGCCCGCAATGGATGCCGCCGGCCTGGCCGATCCCTACTGCAAGCTGAACATTGTAACGCCCGAGGGGCATACGAAATATACGCGCTGGCAGCGCACCAAAACGGTCCACAAGACCCGCAATCCCGACTTCAATGAGACGCTACAATTCGTTGGCGTTGAGCCCGAGGAGCTGGGCAATTCCCTGCTCTATGTGGCGCTCTTCGATGACGATAAATACGGACACGATTTTCTGGGCGCCGCCAAGATCTGTCTATCCACGGTGAGTTCTGTTGCGAGAGGTGAAATACGCGTGAAAACACGCCGAATTTCAAATACCCTTCCTGTGAGAGAATCAATCCGTTTTCCATATAGATCTATATAGTGTAGTTGTCCGATTATGGCAAGACTTTGCCTGGAGGAGGCTGGAAAAGTTTTCCATACGATACTTCCAATAAAGCTATATGATATAGTAAACCGATAACATCATGTTGATCAAATCTAAGCAGTAAGGCAATATAGAAATTGTCGAATTAAGGCAATCTTTCAAAAGAGAAACATTTCCGACCGATTCCGCCCATGTCAGCTATACGATAGAGGGGAGTTCGAACCGGCCAGTTTCGTGAGAAAGTCGGTTCTATGCAAAGGAACATACGAATAGACGGTCCACGTCCACGACTATTTATGCGAATCAAGAATACATTTGTCATATGGGATCTATTGAGACTTAGCCTAGGCTTACATCGAACCGGAGCGTGAAGCAGAGAGAGAATCTCTAAAAAGATTGGGAAACCAGAATTTGGTAAATAATTTGAAATTATATATGCGAATCATTGCAGGTGCATAGCACATCGCAGTATCGGATATCGGTGCCGCTGGGCGTCGAGGATCAGTATAGCACTGAGGCGGAGCTGGCGCAGAGCTGGCCAAATGGCAAGATGCTCATCTCGCTGTGCTACAATACGAAACGGCGTGCTTTGGTGGTCAATGTGAAGCAGTGCATCAATCTGCTGGCCATGGACAACAACGGCAGCTCCGATCCATTTGTCAAGCTGTGAGTTAAGCAATCTTTCTGTTCCTCCTCCCAGCTAATGGCATCTCTGTTAATTCCCGCGCGGTCTTAGGCAACTGAAACCGGATGTGCATAAGAACAAGAAGCACAAGACGAGCGTCAAATGGCGCACACTGAATCCCATCTACAACGAGGAGTTCTACTTTGAGGCCAGTCCCCATGATCTGAACAAGGAGATGCTCATACTGACCGTCTGGGACAAGGATCTGGGCAAGAGCAACGACTTCCTGGGCAGCCTCCAGCTGGGCGCCCAAAGCAAGGGCGATCGACTTCAGCAGTGGCTCGACTGCATACGGCTGCCCGATCATTTCCATGAGAAGTGGCATTGCCTTGCTCCGGACAATCCCACACATTAGCCAAAAAAGTGCGCCCGCCAAGCTGATTCCAATATTAGTTTCATAAAATGCATACCATATACTTATATATCTATATATATATATGAAAATATATTTTTGATATGCCTGCATGCATGTGTGTGTGTGTGTGTGTGTGCGTGTGTGTGTGTGTTTACGAACACTTTTTTCTTTCTCGCAAATGCTTGCTCAACATAACCTCAATTCGCTCGCTTCTTCTTCCTGCATACACAGATACATGCACAAGCACACACACGCACACACACACACACACGCACACACACACACACACACACACGCACACACATATATATACTGTATATAGCTTTGTTTAAGTGTCCTTAAAAAGGGTTTATCAACATACAACAATTGTTTTACTATTTTATACTTTTCTTTCCGTTTCTTTCTCTTTTTGCACAAAACTTTTGTAACATTTTTATCGATAATATATATATATAAAAAACTCAAGACAGTAGCTAACAAATTTACCTACAAAAAGTAATAAAATAATATTTTTGATTCATATATTTATTATAATTGAAAAACATTTCTCGCAGAGCACTCTATATTTATAATATTCAAATCTTTTGCCAACACACACAGAAAAACAAACGAATTAGTCAAGCATTTAACGAATGCAATTTATTTATAGATATACATATATATACACATATGTATATATACATATACACAAATAAATCAAAAATCAAAATTATGAATATTGAAAAAAATCATATATTTTAATGGTGGATGGGAATTCAGCGCGTTTTTAAACGAGCTCAGGAATCGCAATAAATTTTGAAGCGCAAACATTTACAATTTATTTAAATATATATATATATTGATATATATATATATATAATTAAACAAACAAAAAATATATATATATATTTCATAAAAGAAATCATTTTATTGAGGGGAATGAACGCGTGTGCCACAAGAGAAATTTTCAGTGTGTTTTCTTTCCGGCGAGTTTATACAATTTGTAAAGTCGAATACATTTTAATTATACAATTATATATGTATATGTACAAATCATTTATGCATATAAATATTTTAACAAATTTGATATATGAACAAATTTCGTAGGTGCTTCAAATCGCCAACGCGTTTTCAACAGCAAAAATTTACAATTTTATGATTTTGGCATAGAGGATCGTATACAATTTTAGTTTTTGTTTTTTATATACATACATATATGTATATATATAAGAATAATATTAAAATTAATAGATAGTTTAGGAAAGAGTAGAGATTAAGGATGAAAAGAAAATTGATTCAGGTTTCGCTGATCGAACCAGCTCACAGGAGAATTTCCGGCGATTTTCTTTTTAGTAGCCGATTTGGCATTTGAATAAGTTGGGCAAACACACCGATATATATAGGAAATATATATAAATTCATATATATATATGTATATGTATGTTTATATAGGTGGATAAGTACATCAAGATAGTTAATCCTGGACTTTTGCAGTTGCCGCAAATTGTGGCAAAAATGTAGACCTCAGCTTCGAGGCTCCACAGAGATTCCACAATTGTTTGCCTTTGTACGAAGAGAGCCAATTGGGTTGCCAACGCTTAAGTTAGGCAAAATACTAAATAATAGGAGAAAACGCTTAAGAGCTAAATGAAACGCTGATAAGATAGGGAACCGGCACAAGGCGATTTGTGCCGCTTCAAGCCGGCGTTCTCGCTGTTCAGAAGTCGCCCAAACTCGTGTCCGGCATGATAAACAAGACGCTGTTCCTGCTGCGTATGTGAATTCTGCTGCTGCTGTTGCTGTTGCTGCCGCTGACGTTGCCGCTGCTGCTGTTGCTGCCGCTGCTGCTGCTGATGTTGATGCTGCGTTGTTGTGTGCTGCTGCTGCTGCTGTTGATAGTGGCTGCCACCAGCGGACGACGCCGCAGCACTGTTTGTATGTTAGAAGAGACGCTTCTCGTAGCTGAAGAGGCCGTGCACATTGCCCTCCAGCTGGGCCGAATGGGTGCGCTTCATGAAGCGCAGTTGGCCATTGTAGATCATCTCTCTGCAAGCATAAGCAAGGATTAGCTGTATAAGCGGTATGTTTGTCTATAAGAGGATAACTCGTTAGCTGACTGATTGACGAAAAAGTACTCTGTAGTTGTCTGATTGACTGATTCATTAGTTGACGAGCTGAGTGATTGATGGACCGACTGAGTGCCTGGTTGATTGACGCACTTGTAAACAAACTCTGACTAACTGATTGATCCCCTAAATAAAAGACTCACTCGTTGACTCGTCGATTGACTGAATCATTGGATGACTGATTGAGTGAGCGATTGAATGAGTGTCTGATTGATTGATTGACTAAATAACAAATAGACTGAAGCCCTAGTTGCCGTTATGACTGACCGATTGAGCAACTGATTGATTGACTTAAAAGATAAGGAAATGACTGACTGATTGAGCGACTGACTGCCTGATTGATTGACTGACTAGTTGATAGCCATACTAGGGAACAAACATACTGATTGACTAACTAAGTAAAAAAGTCACTCGTTGACTGATTGCCTGACTGACTGATTGATTGGCTCGCTAGTCAGCTAGCTGGCGTACTGATTGACCAGCAAAACCACATACGTTTGCAGTGTATGTCGTGAAAGAGACTCACCTCAGCTTGCTGACCGAATTGGCGCCAATGTCCTGGCAGCTATGCTGCAGTCCACATTCCAAATAGGGTAGATAGCGCAGAACGGAGCCCTTGTCGACAATGCTGCCGCTGACGCCCTGGGCGACCTTCATTTTATCCATTTCGTTGTGATAGTAGCGGGACATGGCCGCACCCTTGGCATCGCCACGCTCCATGGCCTCCAGGGAGCCCATGCCGCGATATTTCTTCAAGCGCACACCATCCGAGAAAAAGTACTCGCCGGGCGCCTCTGAGGTGCCGGCCAAAAGGGAGCCCATCATCACAGCGCTGGCACCCAATGCCATGGCCTTGACAATGTGCCCAATCGATTGGATGCCGCCATCGGCAATGACCGGGACGCCGAACTGTTTGGCAAATTGGGATACCTGATGGACGGCCGTTGCCTGTGGACAGCCGCAGGCCATGACCTCCTGGGTAATGCATATCGAGCCGGAGCCCATGCCGACGCGCAGGCCATCCACGCCAGCATCGATAAGGTTCTTCGCCTGGGCACGTGTTACCACTGTCAGAGAGATGGAGTATTTGTTAGTGCTCGAGCACACAATGCAAGAAAATTCTACAGTGCGTAACAGAAGTAAATGCCAAACTGATGCGTGCCTCAAGCTGTGCTTCTTCTGGACAATGCAATCCCGATGAACCGCGGCAATAGTTATAAAATTAAAGATATTTATCTAGATATATACTATACAAGAAGCTGCTTGTCAAATGTGGTGTCTACAGTTCTCATAGTTTATGAGATTTGCTCAAAGAACATAAATTCGATATCGACTTTTTATCGATTACTTGCAAACGGGGCAAGTTATCGAAACGCTGCTGCGCGGATACTAGGAGGACCTACTGTCCAAATTTCAAGTCTCTAGCACTTATAGATTCTGAGATCTTTGCATTTATACAAACGGACAGACGGGCATGGCCAGATCGACTCGGCTATTGATGCTGCTCAAGAATATATATATATATGCTTGATGGGGTCGGAGATGTCTGTCCTGCTGTCTGTTAACCATTTTCAATGGGTTCAGGTTATAGAAATGGGAAATTGGGGGAAATATCCCAAAAGTCTCAAAATCGATAATTATCGATATTATGAGTGTGGGCTGAGATATCGATAGGGCATGCAGAAGGACGTGGCTGGATCGTCGTCTAGAACAGGAATAAGGGACTGAAGAAGAAGCACAGCTAAGGTTGAGGGCGTGGCATTTAGTTTCATTACACACAATTGGAATTGGTTTTTGTTTTTTTTTTTTTGGGATTAGTTGGGATTAGTTACCATTGCCGCCAATGACCTGCAGATCGGGATAGGTTTCCTTGATGAACTTGATCATCTCGACCTGGTAAATGGAATTGCCCTGGGATGAGTCCAATATGATGACATCGACACCATTCGCCACAAGGAGATGGAGACGCGCCTTGTCCTCGTGCCGTGTACCAATGGCAGCACCGACGAGCAGCTGCTTATTTGAATCCTTGGATGCATTCGGATAGGAGCGTGCCTTCTTCAAATCCGTGCGGGCTATCATCGCGACCAGCTCCCCGTCCTGGTTGACAATCGGCAGCTTGCCCTTTTTACTCTTCTCCAGAATGGCATTGGCCATGGGCAGGGTGATGCCGTTGGGTGCCGTGATTAGCTCTGTGGTCATGATGTCCGCCAATAGGACTTCCGGTTGATGTTCACGAAAATCGATGTCACGGGACGTGACCATGCCCAACAGCTTGCCGCCCAATTTGCCATTCTCGGTAACGGGATAGCCGGTGAAGCCGTTCTTGCGACGGGCCTCGAGCACATCGCCAACGGTATTTGACGGCGACATCACCGACGGATCGCGCATAAAGCCATGTTTGTATTTCTTAACCTTGTGCACCTCCAACGCTTGATACTCCGGCGTGCAGTTGTGATGGATGATCCCAATGCCACCACACAGCTGCGCGTTGGTTTTCCCGCCAAATATAATTCCGACCAGGGTAAGCGTGTGGGGGAAAATTTGTTTTTTTTTTTTGGTTTTTAGCGAATTTAGAGGCGCATAAGAGTGTTCAATTACAACCACAACTGGAGCATGGAGCACCAAATGGCGATGTGCATCGGTCGGCGTTCGTCGTTTATCGGTTATCGGTTATCGTTTATCGACAACGTGTGACAAGGCTGCAAACCCGACATTTGACCCCGTCAAATGTTAATGTGGCAATAACAGCGCTACGTTAACATTATAGCATAATTATGCTAACGTTAACAGATAACAGAATGCAATTGGCATTGATATGAATTCGATTCACTAAGTGTTAATTGACGTTAACAGCCTGACATTAACAGCATTATATAATTTAACAGCACATTAACAGCACTGCATAAAGCAATTGATATGTATTCGATTTATAATGTTTATGTAAAGTTAACAGTATGCATTACATTTTCAAACATTTATAATGTTAATGTTACGTTAACAGCGTGACATTACACAGCATGAAAAACAAAAATTAAGTTCGTAGCTGATTCAAATTATTAATGTAGCTGTTAATACACTTCAAGATTGGACATCTTCTAAATAAGTACTCAAAATGACGATAACAGAGTGACGTTAACAGTGTTACGTTAGCAGTGATTACATATATTAATCTGCAACAATCTTTTGGTTTTTGCCAGGTGTCTGTTCACAATGTTAATTAACGCTAACATTAACATTAGTTGCAGTCTGCTTTTAATTAGTCAACAGTGGTATGTTAACAGCATGCTAACAATAACATAGAACCTTTTTGAAAAGCTTATCCTTGATTTAAGTATTGCAGAGAGCATTATTATAATGTTAGCCAATGTGTAACATTATGGAAAGCATCTTCAAGCCTGCGAATAGCATATGTTATTAACATTTAAAGCCGAGTCGGCATAACATTATCAGTTTGTATATAGATAGATGCTTTCTTCAGTTTCTGCTGCAGTCAGCAAATTTGTTTTAGTCAACCGATTCCGAGCAACATATCATATAGCTGGCATGGGAACAATCGATTGAGATTTGAGCTTTTGTTTAAACAACTTTTTTGGCGGAGCATATTGCAAGTTAACATAAATATGCTCTGTTATGCATGGATGAAAATTGAAAATATGTCCATGAAAGTTTTTAGCTGGGAATAACGAACACTTACTGAAGAAGAAATCGGCTCAAATATAGATAGTTAGAATAGTTAATGAAAAAATACAAATTTGGCTTTATGAATCAGGTTACTATATCGTTTATGTGCTATGTAACGCTGGCAAATGAGCGTAAGGGTATTTGCACGTCGTCAATTCGTAGTTGGTTCAGTTCAAAGAATCTCGCACTGATTTGCAGCCTTGTTAAAAGTTGTCTGTGGTATCGGGTTGTATACATATATATATATATATATATATATATATGTACAGTTATGGATTGCCGTAGATAAAACAAACACTTACCGCCATGGCTATGGCCATCTCGGATTCGGTTACCGTGTCCATGGGCGAACTGACTAACGGTGCACGCAACGTGATGCCCTTCGTTAGCGGCGAGCTAAGATCGACCTCCTCGGCGGCAAAGTCTATATAGCCGGGTAATATGAGAAAATCGCTGTGTGCGCCGCGAAGCACACAGAGCGAGCGTTGTGTGAGTGTGTGCGTGTGTAACATGAGCCTGACTTACGGTTAAAATGTGCGAGGGGGAGGGGGGGGGGGGGGGGGGTGCAACTAGTTCAATTTGAATGTGAATTAGTTCAAACGTCATGTACCAAATCTGTCATTTGACTCGTTCAGTTTTTGATCAATGCAACAAATGAGTTTACGCGCTATTGAATACATTTTCTGATTTTGAATTTAGTTTAATTTTCTTTAATTTATGCATTTAATATTTTAATAAGTCAAGTGAAGGTTAAACTTTATATATATATGCATCAAAATGTTTTATATTAAAATGGATTTCTTTCTATATTAATATAATAATCGAATACATTTGTTTATGTTTAATAGGCGCCATAGAATGTAGCTTTAATTAACGGCTGAAAAAGCGTCGAACTGAACAAAACGCATCTTTCATGAATAACTGTATAACAGCAGAGTACATTGTTTCGTTCAGTAGCCACTGACAAACTGAACGAGTGCATTGAATTGAACGATTTAGTTGAGTTAGCATTGAACAGTTCATTAACTTAACGATGCAAAGTAAACTTTAACTTTGAAAGGTTGTAGGTGTGCGTGCGTGTGTGTGTTTGTGAGAGAGAGTGTGTGTATGTGTACATGTTGTGTGTCTGAGAGAGCGCGTGCAAGTGTGCATGTGTGTGTGTCTGAGAGAGCGTGTGCAAGTGTGCAAGGGTACATGTGTGTCTGAGAGAGAGAGAGAGTGCAAGCGTACATGTGTGTGTGTATGTGCGCGTGTTGCTTAACACTTACTTGTAGGTAAGGCCCTCGCCATTTTTAAACAGTTCGCTGCAGCTGAGCCCATCCTGCAATTGCTCCAACTTGTCAGCTGCGGCTGAGGCTGCTGCTGTCTTTGTTGTTGTTGTTGGGTAGCTGGACGAATCGCCGCTGCCCATTAGGCCATTAACTTTTGGCTTCAGATTGGCGCCGACGTCGGCGGCTGCGCTTCTGTTTGCCATGCGACTGTTCACCTCAGGCAAGCAATGTCAATAGCAACAGCAAAGGCAAAAGCAAAGGCAATAAACAAATATGTCTAAACAAGCAGACGCCGTACGTTAATTATGATTTATACGACTATATATATATATATATATATATATATGTATATATAGACATATATATAAATGGCCTCCTCTTGGCAGATTGCAGCTGGCTTTCGCTGTTGCTGAGCCTCTTCAGTTAAAGTTGAAATCAATTCGATTGCAATTGCCAATTCGTGCCTAGAACATAAAAGCAGAATAAAACAAAATAAATGAACGCAATTCAATTAAAAGAAAGCATTGCAATCGAGCCAAGCCGACGGCGGCATGCTCTGCATTCGCAGCCAAAGATATGCTACCTTTGGAATATCCATTATATATATGTATGTAAAATATATATACAGTTATGTTTGAAATATTTGAAGAAAATTTTGAAGAAAAACTCATTTTAAGATCAGTTGTTCTCATAAAAATATGATAAATTAGTTCCATGATGATTCGATATTTAGATATGTTAGCGAAATATATATCTGTTAGACATGTAATAAAGCTCCTAAATCTTAAGTTTGATCCAAATAGCTGGGAGAACATACAAAAACGCGTTTTCCGACCGGTTCTTACTAAGGCAGTCATACAATATAGTAGCCCGATTTCGTTCGTACTTTGGAAATGTGTTAGAAATATAATATAGCTCATAAAAATGAAGTTTGATCAAAATAGCTGGGGAAAACAAAAAGTAATTCATACAAAAACACGTTTTCCGACCGGTTCTTACTATGGCAGCCATATGATAAGTCTCTCGAGTTTTGGATAGTTTTGAGGAATCAGAGACACGTTTGCAGACGGACATGATACGGCTCGGGGATCGAAGACGTTTTCTATGCGTAGCATACTTCATGACAGACCTATAATACCCTCCGCCAGCGTATAGGAGTGCCCAACACTTTTAACTGCCAGCGAATAACGTCAAAAGGCGCACACACGCACACGCACACACACAAACGTAGTTTGACAGATGGACAGACGACAGGCCGAAATGATTGTTCTATGCACTTGGCCAAGCAGAGCATGAGAAAACCGAAGTATTAATTGTATGTCAAGGATAAGGGTTAAGCCCGTCAATTGACGGTCAGCGGGATGTTGGGCAGTTTGTGAGATGTGTGTGCTCCTTGTTTTGGTCGAAGCACGTGCTTTTGATATTTACCCGTCCAGCCGCTCTTCCAACCGAAAGCGTCGAAATATTGACTTTAACTGTCTCCAATTCGAGTGAAGTGCAGAGACGTCAACATATATCGATACTGGCCTGGCCGATATTTTTGAGACGCAATAAATAGTTATCGATATGTCGGGCAAGTGTTACCAAACACGCAAACATACAACTTAATTAATTTGACACAAACATTATTTTATATAATTAAATTTGCATTTAAGTTTTTATTCTTTGTTGTTTCTCTAATGGTTTTGCTTTACATTGTTTGCCTCTAATATATCGTTCTTGGCGATGTTGCTTAAGCGATATGTGGCATATATCGTTTGCATATATCGCAAGTTATGTAGCATATGTTTCTGTCGCAAGCAAGGCATGATTTGATTAAATTAAATTAATCCATTAACCCCTTTTAATCACTTTCAACTGTATATTTTCCAAAAGTAAAAATTTAATTTAACACAACTCATTTGTGCAGTTGCTGTCTTTAATCTGCTGTCAAATTGTTTGCTTTGTTTTTAAATTGAGTTAATACAGGGTGACCATATTTCCTTGTAACAAGCATAGAGCGGTCACACTGCGCCAACTGGATATGTAATAAGCAAAATAGGTTTGTGCATTTGCTGCACCAAGTTAAAGCTTACTCAATACACAAACCATAAGCGAAGCTCAACGAAACTGGATTTGATGAAATGTAGTAGCTTAATATGCTCCTTTTCGAATTAACAGCTTAAACGGCGTTTGTTATAAATATATTTAATTTAATTTTTAATAAATACATTTAATTAGGTCAGTTATAAAATGACACAATGTAAAGCACAATTAGTGAATCTTTACAATTGAACAACACTGAAATCAAAACCCTCGTGCACTTTAACATGCCCATGTAAACGTTAACAGGGCGATGTAATGGGCATTGCTGTTATCGAGTTCCATGTTGCATGCTTTTAAGCGCCCTCTACCTGCCTTCGGCCTGGCAAACGAACAGCCGGACCAATGGATGAAACGAAGCGCATGAAACGAAACAAGAAAACGAAAAAATTTCTCTCTCATTCTTAAAATTTCACTCGCCGCGAGCTGTTGTCGTTCGCGCCCGGATAACGACGATATTTAAAAGTTGGTTTTTTTGTTGTATTTTTTTTGTCGTATTTTGCTGCAAATATGTATTTGAATGCGATTAACAAAGTGGCAGCATAAATTGAAGAGTATATACATATATGTGTCTCTCTCTGTGTGTGTGTGTGTGTGTGTGTCTGTGTGTGCTAGTTATTGCCTTTTGCTAAGCAATTGACAAGTGCCCGGAATAGGCGCCAAGACGCCAACAAGGACGCTGCCGGCATCGGCGTTGCCAACTGAATGCAGTTGATTTGTTGTTGTTGCTGATGCTGCTGGTGCTGGTGCATGCGGTTGGCCACTCTCTTGGTGAATGCTGTTAGCCCCCCCTCCCCCTCTCCCGCCCACCGCTCAACCGACCGACCGCCCCCGGCCAGCTTCAGCCCTAGCAATGCCAGCGAGCTGCAATAGCGGCAACAACAAATTGATCGCAACGCGTAACGTAAATTTTTTGTTTTTTGTGTTTTTGTTTCTGTTGCAGATAAATATATGTATATATATCTATATACATCAAAAATTGTTTTTTGTGTTGTCAGAAAATTAAAATGTGACAAGCAAGCAAAACAAAAGAAATGTTTCAATCGGAAGAGAGAGAAAGAGAGTGAGAGAGAGAGAGAGAGAGAGAAAGAGATAGTGAGAGCGACCAAGCGAGCGAGTGAGTGAGCCAGCAAATAGCGCCTAAATGTTAGCCTAGGATAAAGTTAAGAATGAATTATATGTAAAAACGGAGCTAACAGCGATACCCCGCAATGTGTTCACACGCCCCTGCTCCACACTAAATCTTAAGTGCAACAACAAGAAAAGTTCATCACAATCGTCTAATGTAATGTAATGTAATAACATAGTGCAAGTATCCAATAAGCATAAATACAAACACATACACATATGTAAAAGCATACATAGAAGCATGTGTAAGTAACAACAACAACAACAACAACAGATTTAATCAAAACAAAACAACGCCGCTGCATCTTGAATCAAATATAAATTTAAAAAAAAAATAAAAGAGAGTGCATAACATGAGCTTAAAGCCCAACTGCATCGACGTGTGAGTTAACACTTAAGAGAGAAATCCACACAACAACAACAACAGCAACAACTGTTACTTAAAAGCCAGGCTCAACTGTTAAAGCTCAACTTGGCATCGCTCGCTGGCAGAGCATGGATTACGCCTTTAACATAGCAGCAGCAGCAGCAGCAGCAGCAGCCGCGCTTAAACAAGAGCTAACAATAGGAACACATTAAATGAGCGCCAGTCGGCCACAAAAATGCCGCCGCTGCAAGGACGTCGCCAGTTGATGTAAGTAGCTTAAAACTAAAATTAAATAAATTAAGTTATATGTTAAAGCACAGTAACGGTTAAGGCCAGAACGCAGCTTGAATGGTGGTTTAATGTGTGTGTGTGTGTGTGTGTGTGAGGGGGGCCAAGGGGGTCAAAGCACATGTTAAACGCGTACGGCCCTTGGTTCGTTGGCCTGGCCGATATCTGGCGCTCTCTGTTTATGAATGAAACGCAACGAGGAAGCAGCGCACGAAACTAAGAGCGCCGCAAATGCCAAAAGAGCGCTATCTCATAAAGAGAGCGAGAGAGCACACAATGCGGAACGCAACACGCACACACACACACACATGCACACAGAGCTGTCGTTTTTGACTGTGTGTGTGTGAGAGTGAAAGAGCAAACACAAACGCCAGGCATTGGCACGGCGCGAGTTCATTGACCTTTGCTATTGAAATTTTTGGGCAACGAAACAAACATTCACACACACACACACATGCACGTACAAGCGCACGCACACAAATGTGAAGGCGCTTTTATTTACACATTGATAAACAATCGACTGTTGTTGTTGTCGCCGCATTTTGGTGCTGTTTTTTTTTGTGTTTTTGTATGCTCTTCACTTCAGCTGAGAGTGCAACTATGCATGTGTGTGTTTGTGTGTGCGTAGTAATGTGATGCAATTTGACACAGATTGAGATAGCGATCTAACCCTTTGCTGATATTCAGCATTTGAATTTGATGTACATATGTATGTGTGTGTGTGTGTGTGTGTGTGTGTGTGTTGTGCGAATGCATGGGCATTTTCAGGAATTACGCACATAACAGTCGCAGGCTTTGCAATATGTAACAACTGTTATTTTCTTGCTTTGATTCTTGCACTAGTTAGTGTTGGAAATTGTCGCAAATGAAGATTTCAAGATATAAGCGAGTGCGTTACGTTCAGGAAATTAAAAACTGGTTTCATCTGCATTTATAAAAGACAAATAAGCAACATTTAAAGTAAATGCAGTTTTTCTTAGATTGTTAAAACTGGAAAATTTCAATAAATCATTCTGTTATTGGCTTATATTTTCATAAAAGACAAAATAAGATACGTTAAACGATATATCTTACGTAAAGTGCGTCAGTTTTAGCTGATAAGCTTTTTGATCCATTCGTTTCTTATATTCAATTGCAATTTTTGAGTAAAAAGCATATTAAAAAAATGTGCGGAGATTTTTAATTTATATTTTAGATCTTCCATACGAGAATTTCTTTTAATTATATATCTTACAATTTGTAATCCTTATTAATTGAATATTAATATGCTGATTATATAAGGAAAGAGCATGCAGCTTTCGCTCAAGCTGCACTGCCTTTAATTCCTCTTCCTGATTGTTTTGCGTTCGGCTGTTTGTGTGTGTGTGTGTGTGTGTGTGTGTGTGTGTGTGTTTGTGTATGTGTGCAGCGGGTGGGTTAGCGAACGCACGATAACAAAATGTTGTGAAACGTTTTGCGCTGAGAGCGAGAGACGGAGAGAGGAAGAGAGCGTGAGGGAGAGCAGCAGAATTAAACTGTATATTTTGCTTCTTTTTTGGCTTTTTGTTTTTGCCTGCGCTTTTGCTTTGCTTTGAATTTCATATTCAGTTGAGTTGAATTTAATTGAAGTGGACTTGGTAACAGTTCGGTGCAATTGCCGAATGTAGTGACAAGGGCACATACATACGTACGCACACCTACACACACACACACACATACATACATACATATGTATTTATGTGTACAGTGACAACTCAACTTAACGAGCATATGTTTTCTTTTTTGCAACTTACAAGACGTTTAAGTCTAAGAAAAACCAGACTACACAAAAATCTTTAATCCAGTTTTCAATTCGTACTTTAGTTTGTTTTAACATAATTTTTCATATATGTTAATTGCAAATAAAATGTGGCTAAATGTTCGATTCCAATGTTCGTTAGTTGAGTTTTCACTGTAAATTCGTGCACATCGATTTTGGATGGTGCCGTTATTTTCTCTCTCTCTCTCTCTCTCTCTTTTGCCCGCCTGACAACAGTTTTTAACAAAAGGGTTCGCATAGAAACATATGTATGTACATACTTATCAGTATGTGTGTGTGTGTGTGTGTGTGTATTTATGCATAGGGTATCCACGCAACCACTGTGACAAAGTAGAAGAAGAAGAAACGGCAGAGGCAGCAGCGAAAAGCGTTCGAACCTTCAAAATTGGTTTCAATGTCATGTAACCCCCATTTTACATACATGTGTACAGATATGCAAGCTCATCTGTGTGTGTGTGTGTGTGTGTGTGCTAAAGAGGGAGGAAGAGAGCAGGCACACGCACACACACGCACAGTCGAAGCACCCAATTACGCATGAGGTAGCAAATGCTCATACACACACACACACACACACACACACGCGCACATCGAAAATGATTTTTACCAAAAAAAACATACACACACACACATACTTACCAATTCCCTGCTGCCCGCTTCCCAGCTAATCTTCAAACGGGGGATGACCGTCAAGCATTGGACGGGGGACAGAGCGACAAGGGCAAGGGCAAGGGCAGCTGTAAGCTGTAAACTGTAAGCCGCCGTCTTGCCAACAACCCCACCCAAAACCCAAACCGAAACCCGAACTGAAACCCAAACCAAGCCCAATGCAAAACCAAAAAAAAAAAAAAAGAAGAAATAAACTCAACCCCTGTGAGGCCAGGCGTCCGCGCCATTTACAATATTGCGTATACGTCGACTGCTTTAATACT